CTCGTCCTTCTAAATACCGCGGAAATGTCGTTCTTTTTACTGCACTTCGAGGATGGTTTTTTTGTGCCTTTGTGAGGTTTGTACTTTTCGCTAAAGAGTTTTTATATCCGTTTTAGTCCACTCAATAATCCCAAATAAGTAGCTAAGCGCGGAAAATACGTAGGTGTTTAATGCCTTAAACAGATTTTTACTATCAAGATGTGAGCGTAGTAGCTGTTTTACCCTTCGTATGAACTCTGATGTTAATTCGATTTTCATTTGTTTATGGCCAATTTTTCGCACTTGCTTTACTCCTAGATATTTATACATGTCATTTTCGTCCATAGCTTCGATGTTTTGGCCATTTTGCATAGCGAATCCTCCGGGCTAAACCTTTTCCTTGACTATATTTAGTACACGGCACTTGTCTAACCCAAAGTGCGAACTGATATCATTTGAGAAAATTTCTACTGTTTTTTTATTATTATTATATTATCTTATACAAGTAGTAATAGTTATAGTGGTAAGTAATATATTGTTAGCCATTAAAATGTAATGATTTCATCAACATTAAACAATTTATCGATGATAACATAAAGTTTATATCGCTTACACAGTTGTGACATTTATGATTGATTGTCAATGCTAATATGTTATCCCTGACAACAGATGTTCAATTTAGCATATTTGTATGTAAATGAAAAACTAAATCGACCATAAACATTTCAAATATAATTTTACTGGAACGTAATAGCGTATTTTAAATTTTACAAATATCAGTAAAAACATAAAAACACTCTGACTGTATTTTTCATCCTACTTTTAAAAAGGTACAAAATTTTAGTGCCTTTATAAAAAAACCCTTTAATTTTGTAGGACCATATAAAATGATTTTGCCCTCCATTTTACTACTTCATGGACTTTTTCGTGAGTTCAAAGTATTCATAATGTCATAATTCATAATAAAATATTTTAGTGTATTTTAGTAAGTTTTATATCTCTAATAGAAGGTATGACAAACAATGCTGATATTAAACAATATTTGAGAAACTCTTGCATTAGCTTACTTGAACAACAACAATATAATTACAAAGGTAATTTTCATAAAAATCGCCACTCTTTTAAAAAACACAAGGACTTGCTAAAATCGATTAAATGAGAAATCGATAGAGATTCTCTATATTTCTAGAGAAAGCAGAATCTTTCCTTTCAGATAATAGTTTTGTAGTTTTGGAAAAAAAAATCCACTTAACACCTTTATTAATAAAACAAAAGCCATCGTTAAATTGTTTAATGATACTATTACTAAATATAAAAACAGAAAGTGAACTGTATATAATCCTATAATACCTAGGTTATATGGACTTCCATATAACGTAGGTCAGGGGTGCTCAAACTTGAACTGCTGGCGATCTACCTCAATATTTTTAGACCACTTACGATCGACTCTGAGAGACTGCAAATGTGTGTGATGCAGGGTTGTCGTACATACACGATACACCCTACCTACCTAGGTAGGGCGTACCGTAGCATATATAGATATTAGCTTTCTGCACAATATAGGTACATTATTTTAGTCAAGGTTTGGGTTAGGTTTAGCTAGGTTCTTCTCTACAATATTAATGAAAAAACTCATAGTTATTTAAAATTGCGAGTTTATTTGTTGTTACAAAACAAAAGAGTTACATATGGTGTTAAACTTAATTAAGGAGTGGCTTTGGATGTTGAAGCGTGGCACTGCATGTCCTCAGCATACTTTTCATAAGATGGTACGTAACCACTGAGTGCTAATCGCAAGCATGATGTCATAATGATCGTCAGTTTGTTGATTGCGATATTTTGACTTAATTATCTTCATTTCAGAAAATGCAGACTCGCACAAGTAAGTTGACCCAAAAAATGCTGTCAGTTTAAGGGCGATTTGCCTTACATTCGGATATTTATCTTCATATATAAAACGCCAGAAATTTGTATTAGATACTGTAGCTTTGAGACGTATATCTGATATTATCTGCACCAACTCATTTTCCAACAGAACATGAGTTCATATTAAACTGACTTGCTATTTCAGTAGCTAATTCCTCAATGTTTTTACATGAAAAGGGATAACTCATAAATGATGCTATATTTTTCAATTTACTGCAATCATAAAAACGCATTTCGAATTGTCCCAAAATATTTGATAATTCAGCCTCATACGTATCATAATTCAACTGAGGAATCCTTGCTTTCAAAGACGGAAAATGTTTCAGATCCTTTCTTTTCAGTTGATCTATCATAAGTTGCAATTTACTTTTGAATGCGTTTACTGCGCTAATCATCTCAATAGTAGTTTTTCCTTTACCTTGTTTAAGTGCATTGTGATGTCAGTCAAAAATGCCAAATCATTTAGCCATTTTTAGTTTTTCAAAATCTGAGTGTCATCACCTCTTTCGTCTAGAAAAGCTGTTATTTCGGGTAATAATTCTTGAAACCTTTCTAGGAATTTTCCGCGACTAAACCACCTGACGTCCATGTGAAGAAGTAAATCAGTGTGTTCAGCTGACTACCCTATCTTCCAACTGCAACTGAAAGAGCCGCCATTGCAAGCTACGTGCACGGATGGAATTCACAATTTTTGTTGCAATGCCCATAATTTTATCCGTGTTTAAAACTTTTGAACACAAAACTTGTTGATTTATAATGCAATGGAATGAAAAAAATGAAGGGAATTCTTCATTAGCTCGACACAATGCCACAAAACCGTGTTTGTTTCCAGTCATTGCTGGTGCTCCATCGGTTGTAATGCACATTTTATATATTGGTAGCTCGTAGTTTTTTACAAAATTTACGAAAACGTCATATATATCTTCGTTACTACGGGTCTTCCCCTTCAGAGGAATGATTGTCAAAAATGCTTCCTTAGCCAACATGTCATTGAATACCATCCGAATAAAAATACACAGCTGGGCAGTGTCTGTCATATCGATGGATTCGTCGAACTGTAAAGAAAAATATGTACATTCCATGATATCATGTTTTAGTTTATCTGCAATGTCTTGACTCATGACTTCAATACGCCTTGTGACAGTCGGACGAGATAACTGAAGTTCTCTAATAGCAGACATGATTTCTGTTTTATTTTTAAAATCTCCAAATAAAGTCTCACCCGCTTCAATAAATGCTTCCTTCACCACCGATCCATCTTCAAATGATTTCTTGTTTTCGCCAAAATATGAGATATTTTAAATGACGCGATCGTAGCAGCTTTTGATTGTTTGGCTGGTCTTGTGAACATGGATTGTTCTTTTTTCAAACAAGATATCAAATCACTTACTTTTCGTTTTCTTAATTCACTCTGTGGCGGAAAAATCCTTTTCATAGTTTTTATGAACCGTTTTATAATGCCTCTCTAAGTTACCACGCTTGGGTATTGCAACTGACGCACGACAAATAACACAAATGCACTTATCCTTCACCATAGGAAAGAAAAATTCTTCCTCCCAATCCTTATTAACATGATACGTTTTAAATTTCTTCACTGCACTCATTTTCCATTATTTAATAATAAACTTTGTATCGACAGTAGACATAGTGTATCGACGTTCCCGTCAAACGCGCTGCCCGAAACTAGACTGTACTGTCTCTCATCTAGAAACAACACGGCTTTTCTTTGACAAGTGCCGCGCGTTCCTTTGATAAAGCCACCTTTTCCCGCAAGCAGTGTTATTTTATTACGTAATACATTTTTGTAGTTGATAGAATATCATCCCAAATTTGATTAATAATTATAATAAATATTGAATTAATAAAATAATTAGTTAATATATGTAAATATAAAATATGCTGTGTGGACAGTATTTTGTTGTCCCCACTTCTTTGAATTGCAGTGATGCTTAGTCAAGCATTCTATGTATTTGTATAGTTCAGTATTAAAAAAAACGTTTAACTCTGCTGACAGTAGTTTAGTTACCTACCTACTTATTAAAATTTTTTTTCTTCTCGAGATCTACCAAAAAAGCACTCGCGATCGACCAGTCGATCGCGATCGACCGTTTAAGCACCTCTGACCTAGGTGTATTCCACTACTTCCAAATTCCATAAACACAATTGTCAGATAAGGCCTGTTGTAAGTTTTTGTAACACTCTAGTTTCTATATTATTAAAGTTTGCTTAAAACACAATTCAGTTTATCACTAACTTTAAAACTAAGTTCTCCATTACAAATTCTTTAGATCTAATAGAACGTTTGAATAACATTAAAATAGAAAATAGTTTATATTTAGTTTCTTTTGATGTTTCCAATTTGTTTCTTCTGTACCAAGAGATGAAACATTAGCTGTAGTACACAACCTTCTAAACAACTGCAACATACCAGCAAAAGACAAAGATCCTATCTTAACTATGCTTAAATTCTGTCTTGATCAGGACTTCCTCCAATTTAATCAAAAAATATATCCAACCATATAAACAACCAACCATATCAACAACCAACAGGTTTAGCAATGGGATCTCTAATATCACCTTGTCTAGCTGATATTTTCTTAGACAGCTTAAAACAGAAATTTGTTAACAACAACAGCAAACTAGTTTTTTGGTCAAGATATGTTGATGATTGTATAGCTCTCATACAGCGAATCCAAGATGATTGGGTAGCTTAGTAAATGTCGGTGCTGGTCCCAAGCCCGGATAATAGAGGAGGAGGCAATGGGCCTAGCAACTCATCCCTTTTCAAAAGAAATAAATGCTAAAAACTTTTACCAAAAGCCTCGTAATACAAGGGATGGATCAAAACAAACACGACTAATGCAACGGAAAAGAAAAATATTATTTACTGCTAAAAAACGAAAAAACTTTTGGATATTTTAAAATTTTTAAAATAATTGTATACTATTTTACACAAGATTTTTTTACTTAATAATAAGTTTTTTTAAATAAATTTATTTTGTATAAACCTGACAGGTTTTCACAGCAATTACGGCAAACAATTAAAATCAGATAGGCAAGCAATCTAATTAACAATTTATGGTTTTCTTTTACAGATTGTGTATTATATGCTGTTGGTAAGCCAGTTTACCTTCGAACTACAGATGATCAGTACGGATGTTTTATGCGAGATTCAAATCCACTTACGGAAAAGGATGAACAGAAATTCTGGGTAACTACAGAAAACGCACCAGACAAATTAAATGAGTTTGTAAATAAAACGATGTACAGAAAGGATATTCCCACCACGTGAGTCACTTTCAAACAAATAATTTAATTAGTTATGTTGTCCCTGAAGAAGACTGGCAGAATAGACAGGCTTGGCGAACAGGAAAGGCGGATTACACTATGAACGCGCTATCTAATGCAATATTATTTACGAGATTATCTATCATAAGAGACTATCTTTAATAATCCATGCATATTCTTAAAATACATACATACATATTCTTAAAAATTACCACATCATCTTAAATCTACCATAAGTTTAAAGCTATTTTTCATCTGAAATTTTAATTATGTTTCAAAAAGTTTTTTGATTTGTAGTGTTTACGATTTGGATCATCCATTTGGAGGTAACTCTCACGTCGTATATAATGGCAATTTCTTTTATAACATCAAAGATACCAGAAGAATTATTCGCTATAACTTACAGAATGAAAGCACGGTAAGTAAACATTATTTCATATTTAGAAATATAAAGAGTAGCGTTATGAACATTTTGTAGGAGCCTCAGTTTAAACAAGCTCCACCTACATTAATTGTATTTGAAAATTAAAAAAATTGAGAATATATATATATATATATCACTATATATATATATATATATATATATATATATATATATATATATATATATAATTATGTATATATGAGTAGACTTTGTTAGAATAACAAAGAATTGTACATTCCGGGCAGTAAAAGAGTTAAAAAAGACACCTAGAGGTACTTATGCTTCTGCCGTAACCACAGATCAACAAATTAACAAGTAATGGTTACATGCCAAATAGATAATTCTGTAGTAACTCTAGTCTGTAGTATCAACTGTTCATGTGGTTTTTTTTCAGTATCGATTGCAAGTCGCTATTCATCGACTGCAAAAGAAACTAAGGATTCCTATAGAAAATGTCACACCAAGAGTGCAGTACGGCTAATATAGGAATGCACAATTGCCGAATTTCACGCCTTGTTCTTGGCGATACAAACAGGTCCAAGTGGTAGTCACAGAACCGTACCCCGATCTCTACGCCGGGCTCTGTTATTTATTATAAAATAATATATTGATAAAATAATTGCCTTCAAGTAGCCAAATAAGAGGCATGGATTTGAATAAAAAGACCTTAAGTTTTTAGCGAGAATTTTATTATAAAACTGTATACTTTATTAAACTAACAAATGTATTTTAAATTACATTTCTTGATAGCTATAGATATACCGGGTGGAACCTCCGGTAACTCGATTTCCGTGCACCCAGCCCAATATCCAAGAAAAACTTTTTCTTTTGTAAATATGTGAAAAATTATCAGGAACAAGAATATCGAAAAAGCTTTGCACATTTTTTAATCCCGGCGATGTTATTTAAAAAACAAGTTGCGCACTTTAAATCATTGCTAAATTTTAACACCTACTATGACATTTTTTTTTGTGGAAATCTGAAGTGCAGTTTTTGTCCTTGTTAAAACTTAATGCAGTCTCGCATTTTTTACACACAACATAAGTTTACCTAGTTCCTTGGCATAGCAACCTGGTAGTTTTCAGCGAAACCTTGTGTTATTCCATATGGGATAATGTTTATAGTGTAAGTTATTTAACATTATATTATATTTATACTTTATTAAACTAACAAATATATTTAAATTACATTTCTTGGTAGCTATAAATATACAGGGTGGAACCTCCGGAAACTCGGTTTCCGTGCACCCAGCCCAACATCCGAAAAGCCCATACTCTGATTGGACTGGTAAATGCATTTTATTGGTTATACAGTGTAAAATAATCGAGGTTACTCACAGATATTCAATAAATTATACTAAAGTCGTCCTCTACATCCGAGATGTCGGATTCCCTTTCGCAACATGAGTAACATAAATGCGCCAATTTTGCTCTGGTGAGGCGTGCGAAACCGTCGTCGATCAACTGGCGTACCTCGTCGTTTTTAAAAGTGGTATTCTGGTACCTACATATCGCTTAACTTGGTTCCACACCATTTCTATAGGATTCAATTCGCATTGATATGGAGGAAGCCTTAAAATATAAACAATATGTTGTGAAGTATACTCATCAAGATGATACTTATCGTATTGATCTTTAAAAGCACGCGCTGCTTCTAATAGCTCGGATTTCAAATAACACTCCTCGAAAAAAATGTCGTTTTTCACTAGCCATTCCTTGACTGCAGCTTTATTCCAGGAATTGTTAGGAAATCTCTCTTTACGGGAGTGGTACGATGCATTGTCCATTACAATGACATTCCTGCGACCATTATTTGGTAAATTTGATATTAATGTCTCCTTAAACCACGACATAAAATATGCGGCATCCATTTCATCGTGATAGTCGCCATTATTTTTCTTTGCCAGGAAAACAGGCTGTGTGCCAGGAAGGAAACCTCCTGAAAAACCTGCATGCAATGCAAACATATCGTGGACCTCGTTTAGTAGGTACTTTTAAGCCAGTACTTAAACCTTTGAGAAAAGCATTACGACTGTTTTGTATCGTAGTATTGCACCATTCGTAATTTATAGATTGGCCAACATTACATTAACCCACGATTCATCCAAATATATGATATTGGAAGGGTCTTTTCGCAAACGTCGCATCGTTCCCAAATAATTATGGCACCAATGAATAATATCTCCTCTCGCTCCACCATAATGCTTCTTCGGCCACGTTTCTTATAAACAAATCCAATATCTTTCAGAAGTCTGTATAAAGTACAAAGAGACAACGGCTGTATATTCTCATTATCTTGTATGAAGTTATGTATGTGCTTTAAGAATGGCGGCAAATTTTTCATGAAAAATTCACAATGAACAATTCTCCGTAGAATACTTCTTACACCCTCGTCATATGTGAGTATTTTAGAATTTGATTAACACACTCGTTTTTTACGTTTTTTTGGTGATTTCAACGTTTCACTCTGTCTTTTTCTTTTTTGAAATTGTAAATGCTTCTTTCGCTAACACCAGTCATCAACGAAGTACGTCTTATAGCAGCACTTATATTAAGTTCCGTATTTTGTAAAAAATACAACACATTTAACACTACGAGTTTAGCGCAACCCTTAAATAATTCACCGGATTTAAACTTAAGGGACTCCATGTTCTCTGTTGAAACTCGGACTAAATTTTGAAGTGTATTTTCGTTTCCCAAAAGCACTTTCACCCCTACCCATCCATAGGATGACAAGTTTGGATGAACAAGTTTATGGCCATATTTAGGTGATTATGTTAATGATGGTAATTTGTAGAGTTTTAAAAAAGAAATAAAGACCTATTTAAAGAAACAACATATCTGTATTTTTAATATTTTACATACAATAGAAAAAATCTAATTTCTATGAAAGAATTGTAAATTTGAATATTATATATAATATCTATAAATAATATCATTTCCAAGTTTCCAAATTCTTTCCTAGGAATTATGTCAGTTTTTTCTATTTTATGTAAAACATTAAAACTACAGTTATTGTATGTTGTTCTTGTAAAGAGGTGTTCAAATGTTACTCTTATGAATATGATTCAATTGTATATCTCATGTTTTATATGCAAAATTTATAGTTTTTGTTGTCAATAACTCATCAATGCCTTTTTATTCTACTGTATACGTATACATGATATAAAATATTTTACTCGTACTGCCGGCAGATACATTTTATCCAAGCCGGTCCTGTGAGACAATGAGCAATCAACAGCTGGAGAAAACCGAGAACTCTGCGCGTTTATTCTCCATAAGAAAAGCATTGCCGTATCTTACCCGTACTGCACTCTCAGTGTGACATTTTTCTATAGACCTAATTGTATTGGAAAATACAATGCATTGATGGAATGTACCGATAAAATGGATGCAAATACAAATGTTTATTCAGTGGGAATTAGAGCCAAGAAATAATAATGACCCATCTTTACTTGGCTACTAGATACATCTATCCAAAATTCGTGGATAATATATAGAAAACATTACCCAGGTGCACCCCAATTGAATCTTTAAAGAGATATAGCATAAGTGTATTTAAAAGGGATTTAAAACCTAAAGCTGCTGGGACGACCAGTCACATATTCATCTGAAACCAGGATTGCAGTCAATATTAGGTACGATCGCAGTGATCACTATGTTTAATATGTTCCGAATAATAGAAGAAGACGTTGTGCTGGCAGTCATGCAAAATCGAGCGCTGTGAGAACACATTGCGGTAAAATTCAATGTAGGATTGTGTATTTGGAGCTTTAGTGACTTTCAGAAACAAAATTAAAGCTTTGTAAGCAATTTTTTATATTTTTATAATTTTTGTAACAATAAATATACATCTTTTCAAATATTTGTTTATTGTAGTAGTATAGGGCTAAAGTCATCGAGCAATAAGACAAAAGAGGGAATCTAATCCTTATGAAAAGGAGACCAAAAAAGTGGCCTCTGATGGCGGACATATCCGGAAATGCGAATGCGCGAAATTTAAATTTTCCGACACTTATCAACAGTAGCTATATAATATTTTTCAGAATGTGTCTTAGACGAGAAAGTTTTAATTAATTATTAATGATAAGAGTCTAAAATGCGACACAATTGTTAAAAAACTTCAATATAAATAAGATTTCAGTGACATTTGAGACAAACAATAACATAACCCAACTAAATTTGATGTCAAACAAGGAGAGAGACTCTCGTTCCTTGTTTAATGTGGCCTCTAAAGATCGCACTTCCTGTCTAAAAATATGTTTGCCCCCACTACCTTTACATTTCCTCTATTGTCTTTTTGCTCGATGGCTAAAGTACACACATGATGTATAATATTGTTATTATAATATTGTTATTACCAGACAGGTATTTAAAATATTAGTTGTACAATGTTGGGACAACCTTTTATAGAAAAAATTATACAGCGAATTCCACAATTTCAAAATTCAATACTTAGTGGATTAAAATATAATTACAGTTGAAATTTTTATTCTTTGATAAATTTTTTATTTTTCTTTATCTTTAGTTTTTTTATGCTATATTGTAGAATATATTTTAAGGTTTCACTAGACCTCCCAGGACCAGATTCTAACTCAAAATCAAATCACAATAAAAGCGACAAACTGTACCAAGGTCAATACAATACAGTTGATTTTAATGTCGATGACAATGGACTGTGGCTAATATTTGCAGTACCTGATTCCAATAATACTGCAGTCATGAAGGTGAGTACCAACCAAATTAGCTCTACATATATATTAAGTTTTTATTAATGTCGTGCAAAATCCGTTAAAAAATTTATAATTCATATGGCTCATGCAGATGGAATTAAAATTTATATAAAACTTATAGTCTAGTGACAAATGGTGATTTTATAATCTGAATGTTTGGGCAGAAATTTGCTAGTAATAATTCATTGCTCAAATCCTTATAATAAAAAAACTAATAACAGTATATCCGTTTTTTAATCATGTTTTGTTTTCTTAAAAAAAAATAAACGACAAAATTATTAAAAAAAATTGACGTTTCTATGCGGTTTCTATTCGGTTGCTATCTGGTTCTTACTCGGTTTCTATTCAGTTCTTATTCTGTCCCTATTCGGTTCGTTCCTTTTAGTAAACTCAGGATTAAACCTAAATCTCGTCGTTATTTACGGTATTTTATACTTTTGGTCGATATTCCATCTTCAGCACGCATTAATGGTAGTAGTAGGTTGTCTGTTGGCTAACCAAGACCAAGATTACGTCTTGGAGAACAACGATCACGTCTCTAATTCAGACCAATCAGAAGGATAAGAGTTACCAGATTTTCATGAAACTCAGCAGGATCTAAATACTCGTCTGTGTTTTTTGGAAAAGGACAAAAATACGTTGTGGAATAAATTTCCCGTAGCTGTTTCAAACCTAAAGACCCGGAGCAAAAATATGGTAAATCAATAGTCTGGAGTAATTGGAAAAGCCGGAGAAGCAAAAACCATCATTGATGCTTGGCAATCGTTTTTTCCAGACTTTTATCAGTCCAATAGTTAAACACTCAAACAAATATAGTCTAAAGCTTCGAACAAATTACAGTAGAGAAATAGTTTCCACCAGTACAAATATGAAAAAAATTAAAGCACTTATTGGTCTTCTATATTTTGCTGGAGTCTTGTGGTCATCACACCTACATTTAAGAGACATGTGGGCACAAGACGAAACGGGTGTAGAGATTTTTTGTCTTACAATGGGAATTTATCTATTTCAATTTTTGTTGCGAACGCTTCACTTTGACGCTCTTGATGATAAAGAGGAACAGAAACAGTACGATAAGCTATCTTCTATAAGAGATTTTTTTGACGGAATTGATGAAATTTCTTGAGTTATTTCGTGGCAAATGCGGATTTTGGCAATATATATATATATATATATATATTATATATATATATATATATTATATATTATATATATATATATATCGAATAAACCTGGAAAGTATGGAATCAAATTATTTGCGCTTGCTGATTTCACGTCATATTACATCTATAGTATAGAGGTGTATATTAAAACTTAACCAGATGAGCCCTATAAAATTAACAATAGTGTATCTTCAGTCGTATGAAAATTAATTTAAATCAATTTTTAGAACTGGAAAAAATGTAACTTTCGATAATTGGTTTACGTCGATAGCTTAAGCATCTAATTTGGTAAAAAAACACAAACTATGCGTTTGCTATAAATATCAACAATAAATGAATAATTGTAAAAAAAGTTTAAAATAAAATATTTTTTCCGCAAATCGCCAGGAAATTTTGACATTCCTGTCAAAATTTCTTGAAGAAAAAGTCAGGACTTCCTTACTGTAAGGAAATGTCATTTCCTTACTGTAAGGAAATGATATTTCCGTACAGTTGTTAGTGTTCTACATAAATGATAGAAAACATATTGCTTATAAGGAATTAATTTATATTTTGAAAACATCAAGTCATTGCTGAATACATTTTTAAGATCAATTTGTTATATTTACAGTAATTTGACAGTTAGTACAATTATTGAACATTGGAGGAACACTCTTAGAACTATGAGAAACATTTTGGACAACATGCAGGGTGGAAGTGTCATTTTGTTGAATATTTTGTAGCTGTGAAAATTTTATTTGCCACCTCAACCTTATTGTTAAGCGATTCTTCGATATATCCTTCAGCAACGTTTGATGACTTCCATCCGCCATGCCTCTTTAAACTAGTTATGTTGGCACCAGAGTCAACCAATATTGTTGCAGAAGACCGACGAAAGCAGTGACCAGTATATTCTGTCGGATTTACCAAGTTCAAATAAGTAGCAATTATTTTGGGCATTTTTCTAAATTGATGAATTCCTACCACTTGTCTACAACCCTTTCCGCTTTGATATTTAAAGAAAAATCGGTCACTGTTCATATTTTCTGGTCTTAACGAAACATACTTTCGATAAACATTCAAGTAGATCTGATTAATTACAAATGATCTTGGTTTGTTGGTTTTCGAATCAGGTATGCTGATTAAAAGCTTAGATTCTAAGTCTTCTATATCGTGTACAGTCATTCGGACTAACTCATCCATTCTACAGGCCCCAGAAATACCAAATATTACAGCCACCTAAAAAATAAATAAAGCTATAATCTAAATAGAAATTAAAACCTTGTAAATTACCTTAATCATTAAATTTTCTTTATCTGGAGCTTCCTGGATAAATTTTTCAATTTCTTCCTTCGTTAAAATCTAAGATTTCTTTGCCCTATAACCTTGAGCTTGCCGTTTCAATAAAGAACGAAGTTTTGAGTATATAGATATATCTACATTGTGTTTAAGTGCAAGGGTTGACTTCAGCATTGAATAATTGGCCCATAATGTTGAAGATTTGATCTTTAAACAAAGGTCTAGGAAGTATGCCATTACAACATTTTCTGAGAAAGAACTCGTATTTTTACTCATGCGATAATCCATAAAACGTCTGTATGCATTTTCGTACTTTTCTCTTGATTTCTTTGGCAATAATTCTAATGAAGCAGTATTCACTGCCTCAACCAGCTCTGGAGGAGTCCCAGGAATGGAAATTTCATCATCACTTATCATTTTACTTTGCGAGAACACCAGCAATTAAATTTATAAGCGTCAAGTTTGACAATTCAACCTCAATACGTTTCCATAGTAACCCAAGTAATTTTATTAGGAATTTCAAAGTACCATTTATTTAGAAATAAAATTATCGCGTTTCTTTTAAATCAATCAATATCTGTCGAATTTTAAACGGTTTGCCGAAAAATAGTATGTTTACCTCGTAGGAAAAGCCACATTCCTGGACTCTGTGTTGCTAAGTCTCGGCTTGCGCCTCGACTTAGCAATCTTCAGAGTCGTCCAGGAATGTAAGTTAAGCTTTTCCTACCCGGTAAACAATGTACTATTGATTTACATTTATGTTCTACTGTTGTGGTCGATTTGACTGTGCTAGTATTACAGCGTGTAAGTTTTTTGGACCGTGTAATACCAGGTTAAATAAGTTGATACTGTAAAATTTTATAAGTGTCACATAGATGAAACTGTTTCTTTAAATTATTTAGCCGAAAGCGAAAACAGTCATATTAGCGTCAGTAAGTGGTATAAGCAATGGCATTATAAAAAAATCATGTTCGAATTTGCCACACAAAAATATTTTGTTTACACTCAAATGCTGCTTTATTATATTTATATCGAATACTTAATTTTTAGGTTAATACAGAAACAATGAAAGCACAGTATATCTGGAATATAAGTCTAGAACATCAAAGGGTTGGGGAAATGTTCATTGTTTGCGGAGTGCTTTATGCCGTCGACAGCGTAACTGACAGGAACACGAAGATTCGATTTGCTTTCGATTTGTATAAAAATAATTTGTTAGATGTCAACTTAGCTATAGCAAATCCATTCAGAAAAACTACGATGTTGGGATATAATGCTAAAAATCAGGTAAATATCAAACATACTATTTTGATAAACGTTCATATACAAATATATTGTTCAGATGAAAGTAGCCGTACCCAAATAGCCAAGTTAGTTTAGCCTCTCTGACGTTAACCCTTTACTGCATAAATTATTGCAAACATAAAATAAAAAAATATTTTTATGTATTGCGAGTTATATTAAGGCATATACATATATATAGATAGATGGTTTATTGGTAATAAACGAATACAAAATATTTTTTACAAGTCAAAAATAAAAAAATATATGTCAATATAGTTAATATACACATAAATATGAATATAAAACATAAAACATAGATACAGTGTTTTAACTTGTAATGTTGACAATTACAATAAATTAAAATCGTAAGTAAAAATAGTCCTCATATGTAAAAAGGCATTTACTTTAAAGTAACTCTTAATTTTTGCCTTAAACTGAGGAAAATTAAGAGCTTTTATTCTGGCTTAAGTTGTAGAATTTTATGGCTAAATACCTTAAACCTTTTCTGGATCGCTTATGTTGGCCAAAGTCTGGTATAAGATTATTGTTAAATCTAGATAAAGGGGATAATTGTAAAAATCTATATGCGCATTGTTTGGCTTAGATTTTGTTTAATGTGCAACCGACCCTGAATACTGTATACACAAGGTAAAGTTAAAATTTTAAAAGCTCTAAAGAAGTTTCTACAGTCTGCTCTATAACAGAGCCCATAGATAACACGAAAACACTTTCTTTGTTGTGCAAACATTTTATCAATATGACAAGAGTGACCCCAGGAGAGAATAGCATATGTCAGATGGAAATGGAAATTACTATGATAAGCTGTTAAAATTGTTTCCCTGGAAGTTACTTTTAAAAGGTTACCGAAAGAGAAAAAGTTGCTGGGAGACAACAGAGATTGTTTTTGAGAATCACAATGGTTGAAGTGAAACATATTGATAACGATTTGATAGATATGAATCCATTAGTTGAATGGCATTACTATAAAGATTATAATATAGAATTTTCTAGAAAACTTCTATATTATCGGATTTCCGAAGTGGAAATTGAAACGTCAATAAACGTACTTTAACCCTTAATTATGGCTTATTTCCTATTTAAATAAAAATTAATTTAAAATGCCACAAGAAAATAGCTTCAGAACAATATTAATCACATATTACATTACCACATAAAAGAGTCGAAAAAGTCCTCGTCTCTTATAATAACCGATTCGGTAAGCTCACTACACACTTTTAAACGGTTTATATACCAATAATCCAATGACACCAATAATCCCATTTTACTTTTAACACCCACTTGGAGTTGTTTAGATATAACAGACTTACTTATGGGGTAAGCTCAGCCCCAGGTATTTTTCAAACAATAATGGACACAGTGCTGGCCAATATCTCAAAGACTAAATGTTATTTTAAACGATATTTTAATTCATGGTACAACTTTAGATGAATGTCATTTAAATGTAATTAATGTTTTAAAAAAATTAGAGGCATACAACATAAAAATAAATGGTGGTTAATGTAAATTTTATAAATCAAGTGTAGAGTTTTTGGGTCATATTATAGATGCAGGTGGGCTACATCCAACGGCAGAAAAAGTCATATGTAGTAAAAAATGCCGCAGCGCCAGAAAATGTAACACAGTTAAAATAGTATTTAGGTCTTCTTAATTTCTATGGGAAATTTATTAGTATGTTGTCTACAAAGCTTAAACCATTATATGACCTATGCAAAGCAAACACAAAATTTGAATGGACTCAGGAAGCTGAACAAACTTTCAGCAGAGTAAAAAGTTACTAATGTCAAATGATGTATTAACTCATTATGACCCTCGCCTTCCAATTGTTATTACTTGTGATGCTAGTGGGTATGGAGTTGGAGCGGTATTGAGCCACAAAATAGATGGTGATCTAAAACCTATAATGTTTGCATCTAGTACAATATCACCAGCTAAACAACGGTATTCTAATTTGGAAAGCGAGAGTGTAGCTATAATATTTGCCTTAAAACGTTTCCATAAATATATATATATATATATATATATATATATATATATATATATATATATATATATGGTCGAAAGTTTGTATTGTTGACTGATCATCAACCTTTACAATTTATTTTCGGAAAAAATAAAAGTATTCCAGTAGCTGCAGCATCTAGAATCACTCGTTGGGCTATTATTCTATCTGCCTATGATTATGAAATACAGTATAAAAAGGAAAAGATGATTGCAAATGCTGATGGTCTATCGAGGCTTCCAATGACATCAGAAACAGAAATCTCAAGTTCTCTTTATTCTTTCAGTTTAGTTAATAGTATTCCGTTAAATTTTGAAGATATTATGAATGCTACTAAGAAAGATTTGCTAATATTAAAAGTAATAGATTATATCTGGGTGGCCTGAATCAGGGAAACAAAGTAGTGATCCCTAGTTCTTTGCGTAATAATATCTTATTTCTATTTCATGAACAGCATTTAGGAGTAGTACGAACAAAAATTCTAGTTAGATCTTACTGTTGGTGGCCTAAGTTAACAGATGATATTGAAAATTTTATTAGTTCTTGTAGTACTTGTCAAGAAACACAAAACTTTTCTTACTCTAGTACATTTTTACCTTGGCCAAATGCTCGCAATAATTTTTATAGAGTCAGTATAGATTTCTTTCATAAGCATAATCACACTTTTTTAATAGTAGTAGACAATAAATCTAAATGGATCGATGTTAAAATGATGGACAGGGGTACAAATGCTTCTGAAACAATTATTAAATTAAAAGAAGTATTTGCTGTGTTTGGGTTACCAGTTGAATTGGTTTCAGATAATGGACCACCTTTTAGTTCTAGTGAATTTGTACAGGTTTTTCAAGCCAATGGGATCATACCAATAAAGGCACCACCCTGTCACCCACAAAGTAATGGCATTGCGGAGAGAGCAGTGCAAACTGTAAAAAAGGGATTGGACAAAACATTAAATTTTGGAAGAAGCGTTCTAATAACAAAACAGATGATTGCAAGCCAGTTGTTAAATTTTTTGTTTACATATAGAAATACACCATCAACAGTTACAGGCATTAGTCCATCAGAGAACTTATTTAAAGTCAAGCCTAGAACGCGGTTTGAATCAAGTTCATCTTATGGTATAAAACTATATAACGAAGCTGTATATGTCAAGAATCAATTAACCAAGTTATGGTCCAGGGATAAGATAGTACGAGTTGTAAGTGCGTCAACATATTTTGTACAAATAGGGGAAAATATAAGTTTTGTACATGCTAGTGATATTCGTAAATGTAAATTTGAGGAAGAAACCTATACTGAACAAAAACCGATAGTTTCCACTACTGAAAAAGTTGTAAATGATTCTGGGCAAGAATCAGTTACAACTGTAAACCCTAATAATGTAATGTCGAGACAAGTATCAGTATCAAATGAAACCGTAGAGAGTCCTATTAGTAATGATAAGAATGAATTGAATGATTTTAATGAAAATACTGAAAGGATCTTTGATAAAACTGAGGTCAGACTTTCTACTACTCCAAAAGTTACTGCTACTCGTTCAGGTAGAGTAATTAAAACTCCTACCAAATTAAATTTGTAACATTTGTTTATTAATTATTTTCTTTACTTTTTTAAGCGGGGAAGATTGTTATGAAAGTACCTTTAGAAAGAGGCCACTATGTTTTATGTTAGGTTAGGTTATCTGTGTCATGTCAATTGTGAGGGTGTCAATAAATAAGTTAGTTGAAATTAGTTGAGTCTTATTTATTATAATTATATAAATATATAACAGCCTCACACATCCAATCAGAAATAGAGATTCTAAATAATTAGATCACTGTTGACTTCATATTCAGACTTCAAGTCAGAAATAAAATAAAAAGTGTTAAGTGCGTGGCAAAATAAGTGGAGTTCATTTCAAAATAAACTCAAGGAAATCAAACAATTAGTGAAGCCGTCGCTCCAACCCATAGCGAATAGACACGACCAAGTGAGAATAACACGTTTACAACTATCACACAGTAACTTTACACATAAACACCTCTTTACGCGAAATATGCCGCTAATGTGTGAAAATTGTCAAGTAACATTCTCCGTGAAGCACATACTAACTCAGTGCAAAACATATGAAGCAGCAAGAAAGAAGCACACTATCCCAAATAATATAAAGGAAGCCTTAGGAAAAAAAATGAACAATAAAAACACAATAAGTTGTCTTAAAGACTCAGAACTGTATCAATTATTGTAATTTTTTCTAATTTTACCTGTATTATATTTTTAGGTCGCTAATAAAACTTGTAGTTACAGCGTAAATCAATAAAAAACAACTTAATCTTTACTTTAAAACCCAAAACTTCTATAATCTGTAGCAATATGTATTTAACTCTGCACGTTTTTCCCATAAATGTACTTTTACCAGCGATTATCTTTGGAAATTATCAAATTTCATGCCAAGAACATCTCTATATTTTCACCGCGTTCAGGACAATTTTCGTATTTCGATCTGGAATCAATTTCAAATTATATTTATGACATTTTGTTCTCTTTTAGGAACTGTATTCTTGGGATAGAGGAAACCAATTAACTTATCCCGTGCGATATCACGATATTGGCTACAATTCGTCAACCGCAGCAGCAAAAGACGATAGAGGCGAATTGTCGGATGGTGGCTCCAAATAAATCAGCTAATAAGAAAGAATTTTAACAATTTTAGTTTTTTTATAATATATTGATAGGCATTCTAACATAAATTTTTTGTTAATAATAGTAGTCAGTTCAGTGGCGGTATATTGTTTTTAAAATGTATTAAATAATTTTATCATTATTGTAATTTCACAAGTGGTTGAAACTCACCCGTCTCATCAATAATTACGTATTTATCTGTGTACTCTACTTTAAGCATAAAATATTAAGCTACATGTAGTACATGAAGTACTATATAAGTGTATTACTTATATTTTCTCTGTGTAAGTCGCTGAACATTAGATATAGATACTTGAATTGTGTAATAAATTTTTACTGTGTAAATAAAATAATTAAAATATCCTAAAATTTTAAGGTTTTCTGGTACATCCTGCTAGATAATTAAAGGGCCTCTGACGTCCGAGTGTTTGCCGAGATAAGCAATCCACCATTTACTGGCCAACGGCTTAGGGCGGATGAGCTGGTAAGTGGAAGGACACTCTGTTGTCCTGAGACTGAGAAATTGGTCTCGAAGGCAAAAGAATCAAGAAAGTGATCAACGGCATCAGAATGCAAAAAGCAACGAGAAACCACTGCATCAATGGTCAATGATGACATCTCTAGTATAAATTATAATGGCTAGCACTATTTGGGCAAGAGACATTATTGACTATGGTAATATTACTTTTACACTTTTAAGTTAGAATAATTTACCAACCAGAGCCAATTTGGTAAAATCGGAGCTCAGATTCGGATTCACCGTATAGAATCTTCTATAAAATATATTCTGATCTCTGGATCCGAATACTGGTCAAATTTTGCTAGCCTGTCTAATTTTGAAGTCGTTACAACTAGGGTTTTATGCGTAGCGATAACAGTTTTAGTTTGGTTGTTTTGTTTAATTGTAACTTTTCGGTGACATCTCTAACCTTTTTTTTAATTGCCGTATTGCCAGATTCCAGTAAGAGCCTAAGATGGTATCCTATATTTAATTCTGACAGGCAACGGTGTGGGAAATCTTTTTTGGACATCTAACTCACGGAACAAGATACCCTGTCATCTTTCGGCCGAGTAGGATACTACCATATACCTCACGGTAGTGTCTGATTAGCCGTGTTATACACTTAATAAACAACAAAAATAAAAAAAAACTATGAATTTTTAAATAACCATACCTATTACCGTAAATCAGAAAATGTTTAAATGTTAGGCCTTCTTCTTCTTCTTCAAGTTCCACTCCTATCGGAGATTGGAAATCATTCTGGCAATTATAATTTTATTGGTTACTCGCCTGAATAGTTCAATTGAACTGCATTCCAAACCATTCACAGAGATTGCTTAGCCTCGGATTTTACGTGTTCCTACGCTTCTTCTACCTTTGATTTTACCCTGCATTATATTCCTTAGTAGTTCGTACTTTTCAACTCTCATATTTGCTCCAAGTATTCAAATTTCCTGATTTTTATGGAATTTAAAACTTTGCATTGTTTTCCTAGTTGTTCGAGAACTTGTTCGTTTGTTTTGCGATTCATCCATAATATTTGCAAAATACGTCGGTAACACCACATTTCGAATGCTTCTAGGTTTTTAATGTTGGATTTTTTAAGTGTCCAAGCTTTAACTCTATACAAAAGGGTAGAGAAATATAACATAGAAGCATTCTTATCCAGAGCGATATATTGATATCGCGATTACAAAAAATTTTCTCATTCTATTAAAAGTTGACCGCGCAATTTCAATGTGGCATCTTATTTCTTTTGTCTGATAAGTATCTTCTGTGATCCATGCTTCAAGGTATTTGTACGAAGATATTTGTTCAATTTCTGTATTACCTAGTACTAGCTTAACTTTGACGTTTTGTGCTTTTGTAAATACCATGAACTTGGTTTTCTTCAAATTGATTTTTAGTCCATAATCGTTGCAATATATATTTAGTTGTTCAGCAAAGTGTTGCAGTTCTTCTAGTGTTCCTGCCAGAAGGACGGTGTCGTCGGCATATCTTATGTTATTAAGTGGCTCACCGTTTATTATAAGGCCCTCACTGATCTCGGCAAGCGCTAATTCTGAGATGGCTTTACTGTATAAATTGAATAACAAGAGTGATAAAATACACCCTTGGCGGACCCCACGGCGAATCTGGATATCCTTTTTCAACTTTCACTTTTGCTGTTTAATTCCAATAGAGGTTACAGATCATTCTAATGTCTCTACTGTCTATGTTTTTATTTGATAAAATTTCTTTAAGTTGATTATGCTCCACTCTGTCAAATGCCTTCTCAAAATCAATGAAACAGGCATATACTTCCTGATTAATATCTAAGCATCTCTGCGAAAGAACACTTAATGCAAACAGTGCATCTCGTGTTCCCAGTCCTTTCCTAAATCCCATTTGTGTATCACTTATGCCTTCATCTAATTTCTTATGTATTCTATTGTGAATTACTTTTAAAAATTACTTGAAAATTTCAAGACATGACTCATTAAGGCTATTGTGCGATGTTCATTGCACTCCTTTGCATTGGTTTTTTTGGGAAGCAGTATGAATGTTGATTGGAGCCATTCTTTAGGTATTATACCTGTTCTATATATGGTATTGAATAGATCCAAAAGAAGATCAATAGATTTAGTATTCACAATTTTAAGTAATTCGATAGGAACTTCATCAGGCCCGGGAGATTTACCACCTTTAGCTTGTTTCATTGCATATTCAATTTCTTCTCGTATAATGTCAGGCTCAGTTTCATCCTTAAATTCTTTTGGTGCTTCTGTTCTCTCTTTGTCTTCAAAAAGTTGTGCTATATATTGTGTCCATCTCTGCATTTTTTTGGTTTATGTCTGTTATAAGTGCACCCCTTTCATCTCTTAGTTGCCTAGTTTGAAGTGTTTTTCTCATTCCTGTTAATTCTCTAATTCTTTTATGCATGTTAAAAAAGTCATATTTTTTCTCATTTTTTTCTAGTTTTTGGCACTGCTCATGTAACATTCTCTCCTTAGCTTCTTTTATTCTCTTTTTTATTAATCGATTAGTTTCATTATATTTAATTGGATTTTTTGTTTTGAATGATTTTCTTTCATTCATTAATAGTAGTATTTCTTCAGTCATCCAATCTTTATGTTTTCTATTCTTTGGTTTTAAGTTTTCATTTGCTGTTTTAATTATTGCTACTTTTATATTTTCCCATTCCTGATTAATGTTATAGATACTTTTATTCAGTTCTTGGGATTACGTAGATTTTCAGTAAGAGTTTTTACAGTTTGTTCCTTTGTTTGTGGTTCCCTTAATCTCTTAATATCAATTCTACTTTGTGTGGGTTTTTTAACCAGTTTTAATTTGGTTTGTAATGTGACTACTATGGGGTTATGGTCTAAACCGATGTCTGCTCCAGGGTAAGTTTTGGCAGACAGTATAGAATTACGAAATCTTAGGTCTGAGATGTTAGGCCGTAAACTAATAAATAATATTAACTATAAATTTTTAGATCCCTGGCTTAATTTTCTCCTCTGTCCTGCTGCCTCTTTTTCTTCATTACCCCAGAAATTAGACAATGTACTTCTTCCCATTCTTTCTCTTCTCCCAACATTATCTTTATCATGTTTCTTTCATCCAGCCCGAAACTCATTCGCCTCTCGAAATCTCGAAAAGAAGTCAAAATAAATCAGCTGCCCTGTCGACTTGGCTCAAACAGAAGATAATCTTGACAATCCGCCAATTTTTTGTTAATTATGGTACAGTTCTCTCTCTATATCGATATAGCAAGGGACTGGGAATTACCACCGTTATAAGGAGAGATCGTTATACAGAGAGAAACAAAATGCCGTACAGTAATATGTATTAATACCACTTTATTAAAAATAAACCATTTTAATTTTAAAAAATTATCAAAACGAATATAAATGAATAACCACTATATTATACACCACATAGATTTATTAAAGGCAATACAGTATACAAAAATGACAATTAAAAACATATTTACTGTACAATTAACAAAATAATATGCTACTGTAAAATATATTTAGCCTACATTACCAAAAAAGTGTGTCACCTTGGTCTGTTTCCTTTTCCCTTTCCACAGAACTGACCTGACCTTGTCCTTAAGACGCATAGAATCTTCCACAGCACTCATATCGTCTTCCTGGTGAATGAAGAATCGGTGCAGTACTTTTGCCGCATTCAATGCCTGCTAAGGAGTTGAAGCTGGCTCTGGCTCTGCTTCCACTTTCGGGTCACTGTTTTCTTCTTCCTCTACACGAACTGCTTGTAGAATGTCCTCGTCAAAAAGTCCAGATGTTATAGCTACAATTTCTCAACTTCTTTAAAATCTGTTAGCTTTTCCGGTCCGTAGGTGATTAGTAAGTTTAAACTGTCTGGCCTAAATGTCTAATGGCAGGTCGTCTTCATCATCAGTCAATCCTTGTTCATAAAGCCCTCTGGCTATTTGAAGGAATATTTTATTGTATTGTATTGATTTACTAATCATTAGAATGGCATCAATAATGTTTAGTTTAAGATCGTCACTGTTCTCAACCAATTCCATCAGAAGTCTTTTTCTCTAATGGCTTCTCAAACGCTTGATGACACTTTAGTCAATCGGCTGAAGGAAACTCGTTGTGTTTGCTGGTAGAAAACAAAGTTCAATATTTAGAAGGTCGCACAGTAAAGGATGAGCAGGCCAATTGTTTACAAGCATGAAGAATTTTTTTCCCCAAGCTTGATATCCCACATTCTTCTCGCTTCTTTTGAAAATTTTTGAAGTCATTCACGCACTCTTGTTTGCTTTGTATGTCACCGGTGTAGATTTTTTATGTTTTTAAAGCAACGTGAGTTTATCAACTTCCCTATCACTAACAATTTTCGCTTCACCGAACCTGTCATGTTAGCGGCCACTAAAACTGTAATACGTTTCTTAGAGCTCTTTCCAACAACGGACTTTTTCCTATTTAAATTTAAAAGTTCTGTTTGGTGTCATTATAAAAAACAATCCAGGCTCTGACGC